CGTTTAACATCATACGTGATAGAGCCGCAAAGAATATGAATCGACAACAAGAGCGTAATGAAAGATCTTACAATCTGCGATCGCGTGAGGTAAATTATGTTGTAGGGCAAGAAGTTTTCCGAAGAAACTTTAGCCAAAGTAACTTTGAAAAGGGTTACAATGCAAAACTATCGCCACCGTTTCTTAAAGCACGCATTAAGGCGAAAACCGGAAATTGCTATTACGAATTGGAAGATCTAAATGGTCGTTCTCTAGGTGTATACCATGCAAAGGACATACGTCAATAACCTTGTTTTTCATTTTGTTATTTTTTTTTTATTATATCACTACAAGCGGTATCAGCTTTGTGCTGCTTGTTAGCTCCCAAATCTGATTTTGGTTGGGGGGTTATGTAGGGGCGCTTGTAGTAGAAAGCAATGATTTTATGTATTGTTATTTCAAAATTGTAATTTTATTGAACAACTTTTCTGTTGAGAAGAGTTCTATTTGAATTTAACGGTTTTTGGAGATTTGGTTTCAAATGACATTTCAATTTGTTGACAGCTTGTATTAAATGATAATGCAGTGCTGTTGTCAAAAGATAAAAGGAAGACATTTTCGATATATATTTTGGTATTGGTTTTTCTTATTTTGTATGTGTTAGTTTTTGCTGAAAAAACATTAGATTTCCAAATTTTCCAAAATTTTTCTCTCAAATATTGGGTATAAAAAGGAAGCCATTGCCCATAATCTTTCCTTTTTGCCTGCTGCTACCTACCAGTTTTCTTAAAAAAAAAACGTCGTTACTCTGCCGTAAATTTTATTTAAAAAAATAAAGAAGTCCTTCTGAAATTGTAAGTTTTTTTATCCTGTTTCAATTATCCTTCGAATTAAATTCAGTGATTAAGCAACGTACATTTTTTTTAAGTATTTGAATAAAGTTTGAAATTGAAGCTGAAATTGTTCGCATTTCGTGAAAGGATCTTTTGGATTTTATATCCACAAAATTATCTGTAACAGGATAATAAAATAATGTAAGTTTTGTTTTCTAAAGAAAAATTGAGAAAAAAATCCATTTTTTTTCAAATCAGTTTTTATTTTTCTAATTTTTTTAACGCAGTAACGCCAATTTCACAAATTTCAACTCAAAAGTAGGCAGAAAGTGTTTTTTATTTACCCAGCGGCAACAAAAGTCAAAGAAAAAGAAAATCGTTTGTTTTTATTTACAAAAAGGTAATAATTAACATAAAGAAAACAAAACACACACATACAAACTAACATAACCAAAACCAAAATATCTTTACAGCACACAAACACACCTACGTCAATTTGATATATTTGACAAAATTCTTCCTAGCGACGAAACCTCCAGGCACAAAATCTTCGCCTGGGAAGGCTTCGTCCACAATCGTGCCTTCTTCGGCGTAAAATCAAACCTTCAGGGAAAGCTTTAGGTTGCAATACTAAGGTCTTAGAGACGAGGAGAAAAGTGTGAAAAGTGCGGGGAAAATGTCAACTGTTAAAAAAAAAAAAAAAATCCAAAAGAAAACTCCAAAGTTAATAGTTAAAAAAAAAAATCCCAAGAAAAAAAAAAACATCAAAATTTAAAAATTTTATACCAAAAATCCGTGTGAAATTTCGTGAAACAATTTTTTTATTTTTAATATTTCATAAAACACAAAAATTTAAATCAAAATTGAAAGAAAAGTTCAAGAACAAAAAGTAAACACAAGAACCTAAAAAAAAACCTGTAAGAAGAACAAGAAATTCAACACAAAAAGAAACAATGTTTAAATAATTTTCTTTATTTAATTCAAGAATATAAAACAAATTGTGTTAGACATTAATATGTAAAAATATCATTTTTTTTATTCTTAAAACTATCACTTTTTTTTCTTTTAATTAATAAAATTTTTTTTTAATATTCAATTAAATCACTTTTTTTTTTTTTGTTCACTCGCGTCAGAAATATAAAGAAACTAAATGTAATGCAAAAATCAATATGTATTGTTAGTGGTGAAAAATTAAAAATGTATAAAAATATTTAAAAGCAAGTGTCAAAATAATATAAAAACAAAAATATTAGTAAAAAAAAGGAAAAAAAATTAAAAAAAAAATGTACATTGAGTTCAAATGTTAATAACATAAAATGTTAATCTGTAATTTTAAACACATAAATTTTTAAAAATTTCAACAAAATTATATACACAAACATCTACAGGAAGCAGACGAAAGATCTTTCGACGTGGGATCCTGGTAAATGTAAGTTTAGTTGCTCATTTTTTTTATGTTATTTTCATTTTTTTTCTTTTAAACAAACAAAATATTAATAAAAACACATAACATCCACTGATACGTACATACAGAATGTTTAATAAGTAAATATTGTTAACAGAAAAATTCGTTAACATGAGTGTAATTGTTAAAATCATCTTATATCAGTGTATGTAATGTCTTTTATTTATTCTCAAATACATTTAATATTTTACATTTCTGTAATTACATGTAAATTACATAAATGTTTAATTAACTAAATAACCCATAATTTTTCAAAACCCACCATAGTCTAGTGGATTGAGTTGTAATTTACCACTCATTAGGCCCTGGTTCGAATCCCAGTGAGGGCAAAGTAATTTTTAATTTATTTTTTTTTGGAAGCCCAGGTTCGAATCCCGGACGAGTTAAATATTTTTGTTTTTATTTTTTCTTTTTGCTTTGAGACCCAAGTTCGAATCCCGATTAAACCCAATTTTTTTTTGGAATAAATATTTTTTTTAAATATTGATTTTTGCAAAAGATTTTTTTTACGCGATCTTCTCTAATTTTAATATGTTCAATATTAGTTAATTTTTTTTATATTAAACATTATGTTTAAGGATTTATTTTTGTTAATAAATAACATGAATTTTAAAATGCAGTTCTAAACTGTCTTTAACTGGTTCCTGGTGAACTGTTCTGGTTAGGGTAATAATCTTTGGGATCATACTTAATACCAACAGCATTTCCCTAGTATGATCATGGTTGGGAGGGGATAAAAGATACTGTGTTACCACCTTCACACAGTGCAGTTCAATATGTTAAAAGTTCGTTTCCGTTTTCCTGTGTATTAGTCTCCCTTTCTCTTTTCTTTTCTTTGTTCATTTCTGTTTTTTTCCCTACTTTACGCACGCACAAAATAAAATAATAAATACTGTGCATGTCGACGTTTACTCTACTTAAAGTAGCAACGAATCCTCCCGATTGCCGACGAGATAGAAGCCGGAAACTAGTTGCGTGCTGGCTGCTTTAGTAGAGACAAGAGAGAACTCTGACACCATCAGATCAGTTGTATGCTACAGATCTTAAATGAATGTCTACGATGCCACATTTGTATGCAGAATAAAAACTACTGAACAAAAACCGCTTCTAAAATAGGGAAAATAATATATTCATATTACATTTTCACTTAAATTCGAATTTTAAATCGGCTGTGGTTCCTTCCTTTAACACCTAAATCTATCTAGAAAATCATTCAAATCTCCCCTTAACATTTCTATTTATATAACTCTTTAAAAAATTACTTTAAATAACTTTCAATTTGAAAAAACAGTAAAGATCCGTAATCACTCATATTATTATCTTGATATAAATTCGGCTGCCATTTTTCAAATGCAGCTCAAATCTAAAAAACCATGAAGATTTGTATTTGACTACTCATTAGACTGTCCCGAAAGACAGCACTTTTGCAAATCTTATATAGGTAGACCTCTCAAACGATGCATAGAAAACATTGTTCATATAAAATTTGGATAAATTGATCTTTAGATATCTCTTTATATTTTCAGAAAATTATCAACCAAAATTCTGCACAACTTTTTCTGTATGTAGCGCCGTATTTATTCTAAGCTTTTCAAATTAAATACACAGAAAAAAATAAAAATCGGTTTCAATTAAAAAATTCGCATTTCCAATTAAAAAATTGTTTAATTTTGCACCTGTAAAGAAATTCGTTCAAGCAATTAAACGGAATTAATTGAAATAAATTTAAATAACATATTAATTCCAGCGAACAAAAGTTTTATTAAACTGTTTTTAAATTTCTGATTAATTATTTAATTATGTCAAATAAGTTTTTAATTAAAAAAATTATATTTTATAACGATTTTTTTTTAATTGCTTCAATTAAAAAAATAATTGATTTTTAATGAAAAAAGCAATTAATAATTTAATTGATTCAATTAAAATTTTAATTGAAATATGTATAATTTTAATTAAAGTTTTAATCAACACAATTAATGTATTAATTAAAATGTATTTTATTTTTTTATAAAATTTTTGTAGTATTAATTAAAAGTTTAATTGAATTGAAAAATATATAAATATTTTATATAAAAATTTAAATTTTATTTTTTTCATTAAATAAAATTACTTTTCTTTTACACTTTTATAAATTATTATAATAATTATAATTATTTAATAAGAAATAGTTTTTTGTAAATTTTTTAAAAATTATATTAGTACAATAATTGACTATGTTATTACATAGAATACAATCAATTAATTTAAGTGTAAAACAAACAATTTCTTTTCATAGATTGAAAAATAATGTTTAGAAAATAATGTAATTTAAATTTTGATAATAAAGAAGCTTTTCGAATTCATTTTAAATCTTTAAAATTTCATGTTTTAATAACGAAACTTTTGCGAATTTTTTGGAGGTTGGCAAATCATATAATACAGATTGAACAAAATTATAAAAAACTTCCGATTCTTAAGGGAATTCAACATTAAAAACAAAAAATAATTTGAACAAACAATCAAATGCATCTAAAAAGGTTAAAAATGGAAACTTTAGTCTATCGAAATAAACATAAATAGTTTTAATATCATATAGATATCCAACAATAAGAAGTCTAGGTTGAATGTTACGTCCCTTGCAACTGAAGAAGTTTTAATTTGGTCTCTAACTCTTCATCTCATGTTGCTAATACAGCAAAGCTTTCTTGAGAGTCCGCAACAGAGTATCTCTTTCTAATTTTTTCTCCATTTGGAGAGGTGGTAATAGTATGTTGAGGAGGGAAGAGTTTGTGCGCGTGCCAAAAGATGGTGAATGTTTTTGACTCCGAAAATAGACAGAAACATATCATTATTCTTAATTATAAAATAAAAGATTTAGCTTAATGTATTTTTAAATTTGGTTAATTTAGTCAAACTGTTTACTATAAATACTTACCTTCGTTGTTTGATCCAACTTTTTGCAGGTCCTTGAGGAGGATAGAGCAACCAGATTTGCTTTTTAAGATGTTTAAAATGCTATCTTCGAGTTGAGTCCATCTATCCTTAGGCACTTTGCCTAATTTCAGTATAAAATCTATTTGCCTAATTTCAGTATAAAATCTATATTAATCTGAAAATGTAAATAAAGTTAATTAAAAATAATTCAAATGGAAACTACTTTTCTAGATTACTTACAAATTGGAAAGCTGACGGCTTTGTATATTCTGGCCACAAATTGAGTATCTCGGTCGTTGTTTTGGCTTCAGCGATTTGTTTAAAACGAAGTGAGGTCAAAATCATCTGCAGTGATCTTATCGCTTCGAAGAGTTTGGACTAAAACCACATAAT